GGGGGGGGACGTTGTGCTGTCTCGACTTAGCGCAGGGGAGTTGCTGAAGGCCTCCGTCCCTATCGAACCGTGAATGAACACGGTCCTTGGAACTCCCTAGTCGGCGTGTGTTGACCTGTTGGGTGGCCTCACAGGTCACACCCTCATCTTTCTTTGCGGATTTGTTGGGTGATCGTGCGGGACTTCCTTGGTGATTCAGTTCGGGGGGAACAGGCAAGGCCGGTGAACCTCTTAGAGACTTGGGGACTTGAGCAAATAGGTCTTCCATGGACCAAAGCCATCACTGATGTGCGGGCTGCAACGTTCCCCCCAGAAGGTTTGCCAACGGGGTGCTTCTATTCGGTCTTGTCTCGAGGAGAGGTCAACGGGGCAACCTGTTGGCAAACGTCAACATTCACCGATGGGTGGCTAAGCTTACGGTGGACAAGACCGTCGGTTCCTCCCCAACTGGGTTAGGGTCCTGTCGCGAGACAGGTACATTCTACTGGAATGTGAGGGATCGCAAACGACTGGGTCACCGGTCGGTCATCTGCGGGTGATCCGAGCTGTGCTCTGTGGGGAGCGGGGTCACTGAAAAGGTGACCTAGTTTGACCTCTCCTTGAGGTTGAACTACTTCTTACTGGTGGAAGTCCGGGAACCCTCAGGGGCACCTTGTGACGGTCTCTTCCTTGACTTGGGTGACGACCTTCCTGGAATGAAATGAATGTCGGAGTGAACGGGTTGTCTGTTCTCTCTTGGGGGAAATGAATGGTTTCGGTCTCCACGTCATTCCATGGTTGGTTTGATCCTCTGTCTTGGTTGGGTCTGCGTTCACTTGGTATGGAAAGGAAAGCGCCCCCGGCTGCGCCAGGATGGCCCTCGGGATGCACATTCCCCGAGGTTGAGCTTCCTGGAGGCCAAAGCTCTTAAGCAACAAAGCCTTTGCGGAGTGCCCGTGAGCATAGGGAGCACCGACAGTATTTCCTGCTCGAAGGTGGCACGGGCCCAGCTGGTGATCCAAGGAGTTCGCTCTCTCCCTTCGGGGGTGAGAGCCTTTGGATGGGATTGCCGAGGCCACTTGATTGTACCGCCAGGACCAAGCTCATCCGGGCTGGTGACTGGGCTGGGCCAAAAATGCTTGCACATGTACAGTCCATACAAGGACCAGACCATGCATAGGCCAAGGGCAGTTTGCATCGCTATCCCGACAAATGGGGTGAACATAGTGCCACTTATGGCTGTGTCACTCGGATTGACAGGTGGTCTGGCTCTAGAAACTAAGGCAAGGCGGCATTCCTGGAGGCTCTTCGCCAGGGCCGAAGCAGTCGTTTCATACTCCAGTGGGCTGTGCTTGCTGCGGTTGCCTATCGAAATAACCAGAACTGCATTGTTTCCAAGTGGGCCTCTGTGAAGAGCAGCATGCCAATACCCGCACAGGAGCTGGACTCGGATCGCACACACCCTATTAGGTCAACCCACTGGTGCTGCTGATGCGCCAGTTGGAGTAGGTCTTGCGCTTCAAAAAGCGTGACTGGTACACAGTCATTGTCAATGAGTGCGAAGTGTTGAGCGGGGTACAGAAAGCGTGCTGCCTCTAGGACAAAAACTCCTGCCCGGTAGTATGGAATCTTGTGAAGGCCAGTAGTAGCACCTGCACAAACCCAAAGTATGTCAGTGGCCTCTTCTTGGGGACCCACTAGGCACCTACGTGAGGCCCACCATGCTGCAAAAGCCGGCCAATGAGGGACATCTGTCGGCATTCGGTTGTCCACTATTAGATAGATCATTTGATTGCTCATGATAAGATCTCGATGCAACATGAGTGTCTGAATGATGGCTGTCGTATCAGGCAGGTCTCCCTCTGCTTCCAGAGTGGCGTATCCGTCGTCCTTTTTGGATGGCTGCGCACGGACATCTGACAACACGAGTGTAGGTCGAGCGGAATCAAGGCCAAGAGGACTGCAAAGGGTATCATGCATTACCATTGCTGCATAAGCATCCGCCTGGGACTGTGTCACACTAGCCTCCGTACCCCGGGCAAAGTTGGCCTGACCATCTGCTGTAAGCCAATCCGCATGGTCACGTGTGAATGCAATAGGCACATGGACCCTATCTTCCGCACTATCAGTTAGGTCCAGCGAATTACTGTCCTCCATCCATGGATCATGTGACGTTAGAGTTGCTCTGCTCGAAAATACGAGTGCAGCCCCCGCCAGCTAAGGTTGGCAGTTGCACTGACTGGCGCGAGCGAAAGAAAAGGCGACGAGGGTGACGTCAGCTAAGGCTGACCCCACTCCTGCATGCAGGGTGCTACGACCTGCTGTGAGCCAAATGTTACGGCATAGTGCATCTGCGGGAAAGCAACTGCATCTAGCTTATGACGGGGGGCCCCCTTCCAAAAATATGGTAAGAAAAAGGCCAACCATGTTGCTGCAAAAGCATGTCACAAGGACCATGTCACTACTCTATTGGTCATGATCATCTGCATGCGGGTGCAAAAGGGAAAGTAACCAGGCAACGTACACTAAGCCACACAGCTGGGAGTGCAAGTCTGTAAGGGGAGTGAGGAGGGCACCCTGCACATCATGAGGCATGTAGTCCACTGTTTGTTCAATTTCCTGTACCAAAGCGTGCAGACCTTGCACTCTTGCATGTAGGGCCGATTCGATCTGATGGTGCGTGCGTTCTGTATGACGCTGAGGGGGCGCCTGTGCCGTAGGCTGCGTGTCTACTCGAAGGACCTGCTGCTGTTGTCTGTCAGTAGTAGTCCAGAAACCCACGCGCCGTGGGAGAGAGCCTGGAAAGGGGCGTGTTTGCAGAAAGATGTCGAGAGGGTCTGTGTTCTCTGTGAAGATCCTAGCACTCACCAAATCAGCCAACACAGTGAGGAGGTGGTTTTCGTGGTGCTGTATATGCAAAATCATCCTGCGGAGCCGAGTTCGCTTTGTGCCATACGTTGTGGCCCCCCTAGTATTGATTGCAATACAGCCCTGATGGTAGAGCGGGATGATGGCACCTTCCACGGTTGCCCGAAGCTTTAGCAAGGCGGCGGAAACTCAAAACCTTCCGTCCATTCTGGGAAGGGGGTCCAGTTTGCTGCCCCCCAGTTCCCCCCCAGATCCCTGCCCCCAGTTCCCTGTCCACAGTTTCCTGTCCCAAGTTTCCTGTCTCCAGTTTGCTGCCCCTGGTTCCCTGCCCAAGTTCCCTGTCCCAGTTCCCTGCCCCCAGTTCCCTGTCCAGTTTGCTGACCCCAGTTCCCTGTCCCAAGTTCCCTGCCCCCAGTTTGCTGCCTCCAGTTCCCTGCCCCCCACTTCCGTGTCCCCAGTTCCCTGTCCCAAGTTCCCGTTCCCATTTTGCAATGGTGTATGCATCGGATGGGATTGCAAATGTGTTCAACAGTGAAGCCAAGTTCGGGCAATACCTCTTCCAAGGGTGCATCAACCTTGCTGAGTTTACCTTGAGTGAGCTTCCATCCCCCC